TATGTGCTGGCTGTGCAGAGTTAATCATACCTGACAATTAAATGAGATGTGTTATTCCAGTAACTTTGCATGATTCCTAAAACAGGTGGATTAAGATACACATCTGCAATACTATAACCTAACTTAATAAACATGTTGCAAGTTAACATCAACAACTATCAAAGTGAAATACACATGTAAGTAACAACTCCAATCAAATGGTTTACAATCTCATCTTAGTAAGCTTAATTCTCTTCCCAAGACATCATTATATGAATTCTAACTCTCATATGGTCAATATTAGCTCAATGACTCCATCCAGCGAAACTACATACATATATTTTGCATTTGTAACTAACAGGCCGACTGTAACAAATTAAAATTTGCATACAAATTATAAAATTTGGAAGTAATTTATCTTCTTATTTCTCTCTTTATTGTGCTTTTAGAAATTTACACGTTTCTAGCTTTAAACTGAGAGAATTGCTCATTAGTTAGTTTACTTATAAACATTTTTTTTATGTAACATAAATAAAAATTACATGAATATGCTGGGATGAAAACTTTAAGTTATGGTAGTATGCATACAGTAGCAAAATTCATTAGTAGTATTAGAGACTGAAGATGCACTGGTATAATATGTTGGTTACAAAGTTCTTTGATACTGACACAAGGCTGTAATGGATGTTCTCAGAACAAAGATTTAGTGTTTTGGAAATTATCAATTACACATACTTTTATCCACCAGGGTAGTATTTCTGACTAGATGATCCAAGTTCTGGTTGAATATACCAGACTGTTTAGTGTAAGAGTTATTACTTAGTTCATTTAGTGATTTAATATGTAATGATTATTTAGTTTTCATAACTATAGTGTCAAAAGTAATTCTTTTAAAGGTGATATTTATGACCAATTTTGTTACAAAAGTCGGTAAGTCTTACATTGTGTGTGTAGTTCAATTGTTGTAAGTGTAAATCACACAACTCAAACCTTCTGTATTTTTCTTATTGCCATCAGTGAGTACTGTTACACCCTAGCATCTCATTGTTTGTAGAAAGTTCTAGGCCTCAGTTGGGCAATGTCAGAAAATGTTAAGTTAGTGAAAGTGAAGTTAGAATGCGTGACTGTTAGTTTAGCCTTAATGAGCAATATTTAAGTGAGTTTTACAGTTTAACAGAGATAAGGAGAATAATTTGTCTTGTTAAAGGGTGTCCTAAAGTAATTAAACTAGCCTGTATGGACTTTTGACATAAAAGAGAATTACTTAAAGCTCTGTATACAACTGTGGCAACCCATGAGGTAACATAAGTGAGCTTATCACTAATTATATTGTGATAACAGAAGAAAAAATATAATTATTTGGAGTTTTAGATACAACTCTGATATTCTATTGTGTAAAGAATTTTTGTAGATATGTCTGACTTGTTTTAAATATACTATTTTAAAACAAGTGGATTGTGTGCTGTCTGCTTATTGTTCAACTTTATTGCCAACAAGTCACAGACACCTACTGTAAAAGAATCCCAGACTATATACACAAACAATGACATTTCTACAGATGGTACCATTTCCTCAAATTATGTAGTGATGATACACATTAGTACAGAGGTTGAGTGCATTATATGAAAGCAATTTTTGATGCTTCACCACTTCATTAGAGTCCATGTTGCCACTTCCAGCCATGCTCTACTTGACAAACATGCATTATGAAAATCCCCTTGCAGATTTAGTCCAGAAATTGAGTTAGTTCTATGAAAACGATTTTGGAGATTCACCATGTCATTATAGTCCATTTTGCCATGGTCAGCCATGCTGTTACATACCCTTCCCAAAAACAATCAGTTTTTGGAAAAATTATATTATTTACAAAATGGTAAACAATGCCAAAATGTAGCTCTGATACATACTGTTCCACCACAATTTTATATCAGCTGTGATTGTCAAAATTGTTTTAATGTGCTGTTCTGAAACCTCAATGTATTATACATATGTCAAGCAAATGATAAAAATTGTTGTTTTAATATGTTGTTTCTTATTCTACCTCTGGTAGCCTTTAACATCACTACAAGTACTATTTTTAGTTTTTTCATTTAGCCTCTAATCTTAATCAAGTCAAATTTCTATGTACACATACTGATTTACACACACGCACACATATATATATATATATATGTCAATCAAACAACAAGAAAACTTTTACTTATTTTAAATTTGCTGAGAAGGATCTCATATAATATTTCTGTATAACATAAATTGTTACAAAATTAGGGTACCTGAAACAGAAAAAAAACATTTATATCAAATTCATATTGAGTATTATGGAACTACTTCTACTATAAAATAGTGTGAAAGTCATTTTTAACAATAAAGTTAGAAAAATTATGAAATTTATGAAGTAGTCTGTTTTTCAAAAATTAGTGAGTCTTATTGTTTGTAAAAATTGAGTCTGAACAAGTTTTGAATGAAAGAAACAATATTTATTATGAAACAAAGTAAAAACACAGTACATATAGTTGCACAAACACAACCATATTAAATTATTTACTAAGTGGCCTTTAGTCTCACAGCTTTCATTCTTTCAGGATTGTTTCCTGCAAAATTCAGACACAATGATCTCAAATATGAGCTATTCCCAAAGATCTCCTAGAAGAACTCAACTACTAAAACTTTTGAATTCAACAGGTAAACTTGGTTTCTTTGTCCAGTTGAAAGCATCACCAGTGGCATAGCAAGGGTTCTGAGCATCCTGGGGCAAAGACACTTAATGACACTCATTACCCACTTAATGACAATAACATAAAGAATTAATTACCACCTTACACAGGCCTAAAATAAAGTCACAATATA